CCTCTCTTCTCCTGTGCCCTGGGGAGCCCAGGGACCCTGGTGCAAGGGGCACCTGAAGGACAGAGCCCCAGCTAGGGTGGCAGGCGGAGGCTTGGGGAGGGAGGCAGACAGAGGCCTGGCCACCATCCCCACTGTCTCCCAGCCCCCAGGCTGCTAGGATGAGGATGAGAATCCTCCACAAACCAACCTGCTTCCAGGCTGCCAGCACCCTGAGCTCTCCTTCCTTGAAGCCAAGCCCCAAGCCCCCGGCGGTCCTCAAACACCAGGTGGGGAGGGTAGCCAGCACTGACATGTTGTCGCTCTATGGGCCCTGTTGCCTCCCCCTCCCAAGTGCCTGATTAACTAACACTCCTGCTCCAGAGCAGTGTGGGTAAGACCCAGGCCTTTGGATGGGAGGATGCCCCTGGGGGTGGCAGCGGGGGGCAGGGGAAGCTGCGTCACATGTGCCAGGAAGAGGGAGCGCTGCAGCTTGGGCTGAAATGCTGCAGCCAGGAGAGCCACAACCATCCAGGGGGAGGTGAGCGTCCCAGGCAGGCAGCTCTGAGTTCAAGTCTCTACGCCCTTGGCTTACAGCGACCTTGAGCATTGTCTGCCTCTTGGGGCCTTATCCCCTCTGTGTAGAGGGGGTTAGCATTGCCCCTGGAGGGGCTGGTGGCAGGGATGCAGTGGAAGGGCCAAGCATGGGGCCTGGCTCGGGGACCCATGCGCAGCCGTGGGACAGGCGGACTAAGGGCCTGGACTGTAGAGGAGCAGAGAGGAAGGACCCAGGTGTGCGGGGCACTGAACCAGAAGGGCAGGCTGGCGCCAAGGACTTGAAAGTCGGGGCCTGTGGCCTGGAGGACCTCCTGAGGGAGCAGCGCAGGCTCTCCCAGACTCCCTCTGGACTCTGGTCTACAGCGGGAAGGTGTGCCCCAGCATGCTCATAGCAGAGACCCGCAGGAGCAGAGCGGGAGGCTGTCCCAGATGGCAGCAGAGAACCCAATGGTGGGATGGGTGCCTGCAGGGACCAGGAGAGAGACAGGCAGGCAACCACTAGGGCAGGGACCTCAGGGTGGCGCTCGGCCTGCTCATCGGGGACAATGGGGCTTGGATTGAGAGTGGATACACAGGGGATCTTCCAGGGGGTGTGGGGAGCCACTCTTCCCTGTAGGTGCAGCAGCATCTTTGTGGAGGCCAGGCGTTCTGGCAAGATAAGTGAGGGGAAAGGGGCCCTGCCACACAGAGCAGCACTGCGCACTTCTGAGGACAGACACCATTCCCACAGTGACCTTGAGCCCCTGGGTGGCCCTGGACTCTGACTCTTTGATAAAGGTCTATGTCCTACGGGGAGAGGCTTGGGAGGCATCTGGCAGTAAGTGGGGGACAGTGTCGTCCTGGAAACCCAGCAACCCTGCCAGCTGCTCCCAGCCAGGGAGCCCCATGCCAAGCGGGAACAGGACAGGCCTCCCCCAGCCTCTGGGCACGGGGGTCAGGGCAGGGCTTTCAGGGAAATGTGCCCAGGCCTCAGCGGACGGCAGGAATCACAGTCCCATTGCACCGATGAGGTGCCTGAGCCGAACTTGCAGTCCTGCGGCGGCCCTGGCAGAGCCCATGTCCCGACGCCAGAGGAGAGGGCGCCAGGTGACCCTAGCCACCCAGACCTCCCTCTCCTTCTGCCTCTCCACCTGTCAGTCTGGTGTACAGCGCCCAGCTGAAAACACTTACACGCCTTATTTCCTTATTCAACCCCCGGCCCCCAGCAGCCCAGTGCACAGGTAGGTGAACAGACACCTGCCCAAGGCCATCAGGTGGAAGGTAGGACAGCTGGAATCTGAACCTGGCTCCCGGTTAGCGTACTGGGTTACGCCTTGGGCTGCTAAGTGCAACATCAGCAGTTCAAACCTCGCAGTTGCTCTGTGGAAGAGAGATGAGGCTTTCTACCCCTGTAAAGACCGACTGTCTCTGAGACCCACAGGGGCAATTCTACTCTGTCTTAGAGGGTCACTGGGAGTCAAAATGGATCCGATGGCAGTGAGGGACTCAGGCTGTGTGACTTAGAGCTACCTCCCTCCTTGGCCTCCATGGCGGTGGGAGTCAGCTTCATGGGGGTTGGAGGGGGGCGGGTAAGGGAAGGAGCGTGGGCACTGGGAGGACTGGCTGGGTAGACACCAGGACGGGGAGGAGAATTTACCTGTCAGCCGTGGGAGGGTAGAGATGCCTCCAGACCTGCCAGCTGCCCAAACCGCCCCGAAGTGCCCACCTTGTGTTGCCAACTCACAGCTACCCTGCCCCCCACTCACACTTCTCGCAGGGGTTGAGCCCATTGCTGAAGCCCCTATCTATCCTGCCCTCCTACCAAACGCGACCAGGGCCTGGTCCTTCCCGTAAGATGCCCTAAGAACATGAGACCAAGCTCCCCACCCTTGGCTCCAGGGCGCGTTCGGGCACGTCTCCCCACAGCAGACGCGCTAGTTCTCTGGCTGCTTTGGCGAATTTGGTTGTCTTCAGCTCCCCCTGGACAGGGGCATTTCCTTAGGGCCTCTGGGGAGGGGGCAGTGGCCTCTGTTGAGCAAAACCTGGCCTGGGTCAGCCTAGACCTCAGCTCCTGGCAAGGGAGGGGAGCGGCTCCCACTGTCGTTCCCGACTTGGTCGCCCTCCCCCGAGATGCCCCAGGTGGTTCCCAGAGAGGTGGGTGCCTGACCTGAACCAGCCCCTTGGTCTTGGCGTTTGCCGATGGTGCAGCACTGGACACCGCTGGCTGGTGGGCGAGTTCTCGCTGGGCTTGCTGCCCTCCTCTCTTACCAGCGGGGCTGGCGTGTGATGCCGCTGAACGGGTGTCCATGGCACTTTCAGACCGAGACCGATGTGGAAGAAAGGCCTGGAAATCCTTTCAGGAAATCAGCCAGGGAAAGCGGGCCTCCCAACAGTCTGATCCACAGCCTGTGGTGGGGATGGTGCAGGACCGGTCCCCTGCCGTGAGTCAGGGGGCAGGGGCTGGCCCTGGGTGGGGGGCCTCCCCTGTGCATCGTGCCTGCTTGGGGCTGGAAGGCACAGGTGTTCTGCAAACCAAGAGTAAAGGAACTCCGGGTTTTCCCTCACACTCAGAGTGACCTTCTAGAGGCTGGGGGTTTCCCACAACCAAACTCACTGTTAGTCAATTCTCTAGGACTAGAGACTGTCACTCTTGGGAGTAGAACTGCTGACCTTGTGGTTGGGAGCCCAGAGCATAGCCCACGGCGCCACCAGGGCCCCTCAGAGTGACTTTCTAGGACAGGGCAGAACTGGCCTAAGGAGCACCTGGTGGTTTTGAACTGCTGACCTTGCAGTTAGGAGCCCAACGCCTAACCACTGCGCCACCAGGGCTCCTTGGGCTTGCCCTAGCGGCCATTCTCCTAAGCCTTCGTAGAGCAAGCGTTGCAGAGAACGGGGCAGGGCTGTGAGCAGGATCACGGCCCCGGCCTCGTGGCACTTGGGCTCGGTCAAGACGGTGTGAGGACACGGAGAGCAGGGGTCCCGAGTCCAAGCTGGCATTGCCCGACAGGGAACTGCGAGGCCAGGTTTGCCTGGGCGGGGTGGGGGTGGGTGGGCGAACAGCACTCCAGGCAAAAGGGCAGCCTTCCCAAAGGCCTGGGGTTAGGGTGATCCTGGTAGCCGCAAGCACTCAGGGGCCTGGGGCTGGAGTCTGGGACACCTGAGGTAGGCAGAGCGCATGACTGTGGGCAGGGGATGCCCACTTACAGGGCCAGTGTCTCCATCGCTGCCCCGGAAAGCTCCAGGTGGGAGCTGGCCTGCAGCTCAGCGCTCTCTCAGCCTAGCTGCTTTCCTGGCCTGGGTCACTGGCTAGGTGGCCAGAGTCCTAGGTGCCACCTGGGAGGGGCAGTCATGGAGTCAGAGGACCTGGAGCAGGGGGGAGCAGGCACAGACAGCTCAGCCGCAGGGCTCTGCATCTGACTTCATGTCAGATCCCCGGCCTCCAGCCCCTAGATCACGGGGGCTGGAGCCTCTGACCTTGTTGTGTGGCCTGGGGCCGTGGCTACCCTCTCTGAGTCACAGCCCCCGTGTCTCTGAGTTTGGGGAATGACCCCAAGTGCATGATGCCAGACGCAGTTCCAGGGGTTCACGGACTCCTAAGACCGGGCCTGGGCCAGCCTGACTTCTGCCCTCACCCCCGAAGCCCCCAAGGAGAACCCTGACACCACACTGACCGAGTTGGCCACCTCCCCCCTGCGCCTCACTTTCCCTGTCTGTAGCACAGGGCAACTCACTTGTCTGTATTTCCATGCGCTTGCCCAGAATAACAGCTCAGGCCAAAGCTGGATTCCCCCTCCCAGCCCACCCCAGGGATCCGCAGCAGGCGGGGCAGTTGAGGACAGGCCTCTAGGCAGGGGCACTCCCAGGGTTTTGAGGGGGTACCGAGGCTGAACACCTGACTAGCACCTCCTGAGGGAGGCTGTGATAGTAAGGAAGACTTCCCAGGGGGGCAGTGGTGGAGGTGCGGGGTCAGGGCTCCCAGTGATGTCTGCATGTCCTTGCCACCCCCACATCGTGAGCCCCGCTGCTGTGCAGTTGCATGACCTGGTGAACCCGCTGTGGGAGAGGGCGCTGCCCCACGCAGTGTCCAGGGCGTTTTCTTGGAGGTACACCTCCAGCCAGACAGCAGCGCTGCCCATTTTACTGTGGCCATAACCGAGGCTGGCCAGGGTCAGGCACTGAATTGCTTGCTCGGTCCCAGGCCCATGTCCAAGTCCTCAGTCTCCCCCAGGGCAAGGGAGTCACTGCAGCCCCGCCTCCCCCGTCCCCCCAGATCTCAGCCACAGCTGAGCTAGGGTGAGGGGGCAGGGCAGCCTCCTGCCTGCCGCACTCAGAGCCCTGGCCCCTGGGCCTGGTGGCCTCCTGCAGAGGACCCCCGGCCTGCAGCAGCCCCAGGGTTGTCTAGAGCAGGCCAGGGGGGCTGTGGGTGTGGGTACTGCAGCGGCTCAGGGGCTCTGTGGAGGGGTGGAGGGGCAGGGCTGAGGCCCAGGATGCTCTGCTCCTTGACAGAGATCCGAGAGGCCTTCAAGGTGTTTGACCGGGACGGCAACGGCTTCATCTCCAAGCAGGAGCTGGGCACGGCCATGCGCTCCCTGGGCTACATGCCCAACGAGGTGGAGCTAGAGGTCATCATTCAGCGGCTGGACATGGACGGTAAGCCAGGCCGGCCCGTGTCCTCGGGGTCACTGGGCTAGGTGACCCCACCCCCACCGCTGGCCCCTGCCATCCATTGTCCTGTGGAGCCAGGCCTAGACCCACTCCTCAGCCTGGAGTCGAGGCAGAGAGGTGGCTAGCCCAGCCCTACCCAGGGGTTCCCTATTCCCAGGAAGGTCAAGTCTACAGAAAAGGTAGAGAAAAAAAACCTCACCCTAATCCCACCACGGTTGTTTAAAATCACTTGTGTAGGAGGGAGTTGCCCCCTGGCATTTCTGCGGGAAGAATTTCGAGTAGCCAGTGGTGGTGGCCCCTACCCCTTAACCTCCCCCCGCCCCCAGTCCAGAGCAGCACCCACAGGATGGCAGCAGGGGCTGGGAGGGTTTCCACCTGCCAGCCCCACCTGGGCCAAGCCTCCATCCCCGCCCCCGGGGATCCACCCAGACACGTCCCACCGCCGACCGGCCCTCTGTGGCTCTAGGAGACGGCCAGGTGGACTTTGAGGAGTTCGTGACTCTGCTGGGCCCCAAACTCTCCACCTCGGGGATCCCAGAGAAGTTCCTCGGCACCGACTTTGACACGGTCTTCTGGAAGGTGCGTCCCGGCAGCCCGCCGCCCTGGTGGGAGGTGAGGGTCCCACTGTGCAGGAGCTGGGCTTGGGCGGGGTGCTGGGCGAGTGGGTGGCTGTGGTGGTGGCGGCAGGAGCACTGCGTGGCCTGCACCCCCAGTGCGACATGCAGAAGCTGACCGTGGACGAGCTGAAGCGTCTGCTCTACGACACCTTCTGTGAGCACCTGTCCATGAAGGACATCGAGAACATCATCATGACTGAGGAGGAGAGCCACCTGGGCACGGCTGAGGAGTGCCCTGTGGATGTGGAGAGTGAGTGGGGGACAGGGCTGGGGACTTCCTTGTCTGCCCAGAGCCTCGCTGTCCCCAGGGCTCCCTGCACAGGTGGCTCTTGGCCCATTGGTTCCCTGTCTCGTCTCTCGTGGCCACAGCCTGCTCCAACCAGCAGATCCGCCAGACGTGTGTGCGCAAGAGCCTCATCTGCGCCTTCGCCATTGCCTTCATCATCAGCGTCATGCTCATCGCGGCCAACCAGGTGCTGCGCAGCGGCATGAAATAGGCCTCGCAGGCCCGTCTGGCGCATTCGGTGCATGGGACCCACGCCGCAGCCACCGCCGCCGCCTGCAGCCCCTTCTCCTGAGCCAGTACCCTCAGGACCCAGAGGCAGTGACCAGCACCCCAGCCCGCCCCTGCCCCTGCCCTGCTGGGCCTTGCACGGAGCCCTGCCCAGCAGTGGAGGGCTGGGTGACGGCTCTGCCACCACCCTGCCCCACCCATGTCCCCACCTGGCCTGTGTGTAGCACTAACTCTTCCCACCGTCACGGGGTTCTCGGGAAGCGAAGGCAGGCGCCCCAGAGCCCAGTCACTGCTGTGGTCCCTCAGGTGGATGGGGCACCTTGTGCCCAGGGCAGCAGGCAGGGTGGGAGGTGGGTAGGCGATTTGGGCAGCCCAGAGGGTGGGCAACTTGGGCAGTCCAGCATGGCCTGGGACTGGGCCCCTCCCTCCAGCCCTTCCAAGCTTAGACTCAACTACAGTCTCTTGGTTTCTCTTGGCACCTGTCGGGTGGGACCGTTGGCCCATTTCACAGATGAGGAGCCTGAGGGTCTGAGATTTGGCCTCAGTTTCCCCTTCAGCAGGTTTTCAGGAAGGTCAAGTGGTTATGGAGGACGGAGCTGTGAGATGGCCATCAGCACCCCCTGCTGGGCACTCCCCTGCCCCCACATACACATAAAGCCTAGAGCTCTGTTGCAGCTGGAGACAAGGCACTCAGACGGGGCCCCTGAGTGACCTACTGGCCAGAGGGCACCTCCCAAAGGAACCCTGAGCTGCCCCCAGGCCGAGGGGCTGTCCTCTTGGGACCCCATGTCTCCTGCCCTTGAGGCATAGACCCAGCTCAAGCCTGGTTCCAGGTGTACCACCCACATGCTCGGCACCACCCAGCACGGGCGGCAGTGGGACTGCCAACCTGCACCTGCAGACTGGCCCCACCATGCAGTGGGCCTGGTCACAGCCCCCCTGCGGCACCCAGCCAGGCCATGCGCCTCACCAGCCCCGAGGGAGACAAGCCCGACGTAGACTGCAGACGGAGCCACGGGCTGAGAGACTCTTTATGTAAAAACAAATGGCAGGAGGCAGGTGGGAGGGAGGGTTATGTGCGTCCTGTCTCAGGGCCGGGGCTGGGGCTGCGGCCCACGGGGGTCCCGGGCTGCAGCAGAGGCCCTGTGGGGGCTGCCCACTCCTCTTCGCTGTGACCGGTGAGAAGCTGACAGTGGGAGCCAGGCAGGGTCAAGGGGCTCAGCCCCACTGCACACTGGGCTGCAGGGGCCAGCCCCCGGGTGGAGGGGCCCGCAGAGAGGGGGGCAGCTCCTGGATTGGTGGCCAGCCCAGGGGGTACTGGAAGACAGTGGTCCTGGTGGGTTCGGCCCTAGAGAAGGGGAGAAGGGCAGAGAGTTAGGGTGGGATGTCACCCAGACAACCTCCTCCACCCGCCTCAGCAGGAAGGGGAGGGGCTTTCCAGAAGCAAAGCAGGCCCCTCTGAGCCAGCAGCCTCAGTCCAGGGACGAGCCCCAAGGGATGGCCCAGTGGTGGGGGGTGGGAGGGACTTGGTGACAAGAGTGGCTGCCCTAGAGCCCTCAGGTCGCCTGTGGGGACCTGACCGACCATTTGCGCACATCCACCACGGGGACGCCATGAGCCTGCAGCAACATGGTGGTCGGCTGACCTTCACTGACGGGAGACGCCCTGACGTCATGTGTGTGAGTGGGGAGAGAGTTGCTTATAAAATAATGTATATAGCATGATACTATTTTTGTTGAAAGATATATAACATATATAAATGCATAAAAAAACTACCTGGAAGACACAGCGAGATGCTAAGAGTGGTTTTGTTTACGTGGTGCCAGTTTGGGTGTTTTGTTTTTTGTTTTTCAATGTCCTTATACTTTTAAAAAAGTTTTACAAGCACATAAGAGCCACTGAACTCAGGAACTAAACTATGGAAACGAACATTCTTACAAGCCTCATCCTCGCCCTCCTGCCCCCCACCGAGCACCTCAGAAGCGCCGCCTCCTCTGTGCTTTGGAGCACCCGGGACTGGGTCTTCCTACAGCCCTAGGAGCTTGTCTGTCTCTCCTTCTGGACCCGAGGTCCCTGGGGGTGGAGGCATCTGTCTGTACCCGCAGAGCCCAAGAGGCAGCCCCAGGAATGTCTGCAGAGTACACCCCATGGCCCGGGGGTCCTCACACAAAGCCCATTTGACAGATGGGGCCACAGAAGGCAAGGGGTCAGTCCCTGTGCAGCTGGCACAGTGAGGGGGTGTAAGCCAGACATGAGCTCTAGCCAACCTCTCCCCTTACTCCCTCGGCTCCAGGGGCCTGCCCCTCCCATGACCTAGATCCTGCCAGTTCCTGGCAACCCCCTTGTAGAAAGGGAACCCCCCACAACTCCCATAACTTAGGTGAGGAGAGGCCTCAGGCGGAGGTGGAGGTGGGGGCCTGGGGCCTGCCCTCAGTTCTCAGGCCTGGCTGCTGGCCCAGGTGGGCCTTGGGCGCCCTCAGTGCTGCCTCGGGGCCTCCTGGTGCAAGAGGCCAGGGAAAGCCCTGCTCAGCTGGCGGCCTGCAGAGCACGGAAGCAGCCCTGGCCGTGATTTACGGGTGACAGGCGGGCGCTGGGGAGATTTCATAAGCTCTGCCAGCCACAGGGAAGGGTGGGAGCGGAGGAGGCACTGCAGTTATGGGAAGGGAGTGCCCCAGCTGTCAGGCACTTGCTGGGCCCCCAGGGTGCCCTGAGGCAAGGCCAAGTTCTAAGCCCAGCTCAGCCCTGGGCCCTACACCCACAGATCCCTAGGGTGCCAGCTCCTGACACCTAGAGCCCTTGCACCCTCGGCCCCGCAGGGAACAGGCAGGGAGACCCACGTAGAGCACAGCCCTGGGTTCTCGGCCGCCCACGCCCGTGGACAAGGACGAGAGCACCCTTCCTCCACCCTAGGCTGTGTCCGACTGTGGACAAAGGAGTCTGGGCCGGCTGGCCGCGCTGCCCCGGAGAGGGCACAGAGGGGAGATTAAGTGGGATCAAGTCACAATCTGAAGAGCCAACAATGGCAAGCAGGCCACGTGCAGGCTCGGCCTCACAGCAATGCCACCACCGCTGCTGCCGCCAGGGATTAGCTTGTCCTGCTTGTCCCCAGCAGCACCGTCACCCCTGGCAGATGCCTCAGGGTCAGTCTGCTGATGGGGATGGGCCAACGCCACCAGGCTACGCGCCCCTGGAGCCACCTTCTCCGGCTGCGCAGACAGGGGCTGAGCCTGGCAGGCATCATCCACAGTGCCTTAGAAGAGAGAAGTAGGGACTACCAGTCCCTACAGAGGGCTGCTGGCACTAACACTCGGGGCCAACAGGGCTCACGGCCCCGGGGCAACCAGGAGAAGCGAGGGGGCCGATGGGCATCAGTGCTCGCTGAGAGGGAGCACGCAGCACCATGATCCTGAGTGGCCAGCGTGGCTCAGGAGCTGCCTGGTGTCTAGCATAGCATGAGGGACACAGCGGCCGGCAGGCGTGGCGGGAACGGCAGGTGGGGGTATGGAGGGGGGATGCGGAGGCGAGGACGGGGCAGTGGGCTGCAGTGGCTGTTGAACTAGCCGAGTGTGTGAGGGGCCCCAACACAGCAGACCTGGCCCTTCCTGCCGGATGACTGGAGGCTGCGGCGGGAGACTGGGGAGCAGAACCAGGGGTCGTGGAGGCAGCAGCACAGGGCCAGGGATCCAGGGACAGACCCAAAGCGTGGAGAGTCACTTCTCACACAGCCAGCTGCCCCCAAACAGGCAGTGGCCATCAGACCAGGGGCCACTGCCCTTCCAACCACCCTCTCTGCCCAGAGAGGAACTCCTCTGGGCACAGAGCACTGGGAGCAGAGAACGAGTGGTTCTGGGACAGCAGGTCCCTGGCAGTGGCCAGGCTGGGTGCCAGCAAGGGCGGGACCGAGGGCAGGCTCAGAGTCCCAAGTGCACGGTGGCCCCGGCCACTGTGGCACTCCTCTGTGGTCGCTGCAGGTCTCTGGCTCGGCAGGGTGCATGGGAGGCAGGTCGGGAGAGGGTCTCCAGGAAGCACCACAGCAACAGGACTGTGACAGCCCCCTGGAGAGGCTCAGATTCCCCCGCTTCAAAATGGGGTACTAGAACCCCTAAGTGCCCACACTCCTGGGCGCCCCAGGCCTGCACCAAGCACCCTGGCTTTCCTGTACACCTCAACTCTCCCTGTGACTCTGGGCCACAGGCGCTCAGTGTTAGCAAGTGCTGAGACATACCTGTCTATGCCGAGGCAGGGGCTCCGGGGGCACCCCAAAACCACAGTCCTGGAGGCCCCAGGCCCAGGTCACTCAATCACGGGGCAGGTGAACAAGCAGAGTGCAGATGGGACCCAGTGTGGGTGCAAGGAGCCACGCAGGGGGCAGTAGAACTGAACTGGGCTCAAGCAATCAGGGAAGCCCCCTAGGGGCCCAACAACTAGCCCAGCCTCTTCCACACGGGCAGGAGAGAGACCTCTGTGGGCTGGAACCCTGGATGGGCCCCTGGTCCCCAGGGGAAACCACATGACCCAAATCACAATCCTGCCCAGCAGAAAGTTACCTCACCTCACAGCCCACATTTGAGTTGTGTCTGCATTGTACTGGACATAGATTTAAAATAAGAGTGAAAACAGAGTTTGGGGATACATCCTAGTTTGGTGAGTCGTATCTGGGGAAAGGGACCTCAAACTATGGCCCACGGGCTACATAAGGACATTTATCCAGCCCACTGGGTGTTTTTGCCCCCCACCCCCTTTTGAACTTCAAAATAAGATATGTGCAGTGTGCATAGGAATTTGTTCACAGTTTGTTTTTTTTAAATTATAGTATGGCCCTCCAACGGGTCTGAGGGACAGTGAACTGGCCCCCTGTTTAAGAAGTTTGAGGACCCCTGGTCTTCAAAGCAGTGGGTGGCCACCTAAGGCACAACTATGGGTGTGTCTTCCTTCCGGACCAAAGAGAAAGAAGGTCAGGAAAGACTCTCAGAAGAACCAGGACCAACAGTCGACATGAAATGGACGGTCCCTGTATAGATAGCCCTCACCGACTCCCAGACCACAAGAACTAGGTGGTGCCCGGCCACCACCACTGACCCCGCTGATCAGGCCCACGCGAGATGGAGCCTGTTAAATGTGGAACAGAACTCAAGATTCTTAAACAAAACAAAACAAAATGCAGCAGCAACAGCAAAAGGACCCCAAATCTACACCGAATGGGCTGGCTGAGACTGGAGGACTCCCTGAGACTCCTGCCCTGATGTTCTTCAAACCTTGGATCAAAACCAACTCCTGAGGTCACCTTGTGGCTGAGTAGCAGATGTGCTAAAAAATAATGACCATCACCCACAAGTACCTGCTAATACTGAGCGGCTGTGGTCACATGGAGTGGTGAGGTATACAGGAAGGCCAGGGCGTTATCAAAGCAAAACAAAACCAGCCAACCGAGATTCGACCAAACTGTCAACAATGGCTTTAAGACAAGGACGAGAGTAAGGAGACCAGGCGACTGGCTGCGTGGGTCCAGAGCCACCAGGGCGGAATGCTCGCGCTTTGGGAAGGACGCGGCCAATGTCACTGAGAAGCTTGCGTGGCGATGGTGCAAGGGGAACCCGGCCCTCACCAAAACCCACAACAAAGTTCATTTTAAAACACCTTCATTTCTTTTCACTGGGCACGGAGAAAGCAAGCACACCTATCCCTCCTGGGGGCCCCAGTGGAAGGCTGTCCCCATGGGTGTGGTGACCACCTTGCCACTCCCTCCGAGGCCCTGTTTCCCAGGGTGGGTGGGGCAGGGGGCCTCAAGTGAGATCACGTGTCTGATGTCATGGGCAACTCATGTGTACATCCTCGGATACCCAGGAGACCTGCTTTGGCCTGAACTCTGGCGCCAAGTGGGCTTCAGAAGCCCCCGCCACCCCTGTGTGTGCCTTAGTCAGGTGGTAAAGTGTGGGCAGAGGCCACCCCCTGACTCTGCATGCTCCCCAGCCCAAGAGCTGAGGGACTGGAGGGGGTCCTCACCCCCTTCCGGTGGGACAGTAATCCTGTCACCCTCTGGGGGATCCCAGCCCTGCCTCTTCCCAGCTGTTCAAGGGGCCCCACATGAGCCTCGTCCCCCTGTGCACAGGCAGAGGAGGGGTTGAGGGGACTGAAGGGACAGGGCGGGGTGCAGGCGGGGCACCCAGGGAGGGTGGGCCGTGGCATGAAGTCAAAGCTGTATTGCCACTTTCACGTGGAGATGACCAACATGGGCTGGGCAAGGCCAGGGAAGCAGGTCTGGGGGCCAACAGCTCCGAGGGAACCCTGCCAGGGGTGGGGGTCATGTCTGTTCATGGAAGCCTAAGGCAGGGCGGGCTGGCTGGGGTCCTGCTGTGGGAAGAGGGGGGCACCCAGGGGACCTGTACCTGCTGCTTGGAGCCGAGCTCAGCCGCTTGGCCCTCTTCTCCAACCAGTCTTCCAGATGGACCTCAGGCAGCTCCCCGATGTCCATCGGCCACTCCTTGGCCCGCCTCTCCTCTGGAGGGGGAGAGAGAGGCAAGCAAGGAACATACTCAGGCCAGGCTGGGTGAGATATGGGCAGCTCTGGCCTGTCCCCACTCCCGGCCACCACCTCCCCAGGCCATCTGGGGTCTGGGGCCACTCCTCTTTTAACACGGGAGAGCCAGACAGCCTCTGAGCTTTTGGGGTTTCGAAGCAGGAGGATGGATGTAAAGAGCCCAGCCCTTGGGAATGCCTAACTCTAGGGGTGGCCAAATCGAGGGGTACAGAGAGGCAGCAAGTCCAGGGGTACAGAGAAGAACAGGGCTGCGTTTTACTTGGCCATGTGCCGAGTCTGACCTAAGGTTTTGTCTCATGTAAAGTCCTACAAAAACCTTTGTTCACTGAATTAAAACCACGCAACAAAGAACTTGTGTGCACGCTGGGCCTGAGAACGTGATGTGGCCAGACTCTCCTCGCATGCAACCCCTCTGGGCCGCCTCCCTCCACCCTCACGAGCTCCACACTGGAAAGGTCAGGGCACTGCCCCCCCACCCCACCCCCGGAGGCAAAGCCATGTGCCCAGCTCACAGCTGGACGGGGCAGCCAGCACTGTGGAGCTGCCAGCTGAGAGTAGGCCTCTGCCCTGGGCCCTTCCCAGCCCAATAACTGCCAGCAAGTCTCCAGCCCCAGGGCCAGGCCCCAGGCCCTCTCCCCCACTGGCCAACCATACCTCACGAGCCCGTAGTTCACCCCTGGACAGAACCCGGAAGCAGGTGTATGCAGGGCCACAGCCACTGGGCCATCAGCAGCCCAGGGCAAGGCAAGGCCATCCCAGCACACTTGCTGCCGGCTCCTCAAGGCCACAGACCCAGTCTGCCTCTGACCTGTGTGTCTGTGGAGGGTGGGAGTGGGGGGGTGGGGGGTGGGGGTAACAGCCCCTGCCCAAGTCCTGGTCTGTTCCTGGATGGAAGCCCACCTCCTCACTGTCTGACGGGAGGCAGGGCCAGCCCACCCTCCCTTCCTTCCTGGGTGGCTGCACTTGCTCTTCCCCGGGCCCCTGTGGTGCAAGCCTCGTGCAGAGCAGGGGGGCTCCATGGGCTACAGACTGAAGGGGGTAGGGGTGTACACAAAGAATGCCAGGCTTGCTGCTGCTGTGCAGGGAGACAAGGAGGAGGGAGCAGAGATGATCCCTCAGGGCTCCTGGCCTGACGCCTCTCGGGCATCAGGTGGAACCCACTTCGTGACCTCCCCTGAAGGCCACCCCCAGGAAGGGCAGAGTGAGGAGAAGCCACGGACCACCTCCCAAGACACCCCCTCTGCTCCTCTGGCCAGTCCAGGCCCCTGTAGAAACACACCTTCCACCTGGCGGCTCAGCTCCTGCAGGTCTCTGCCAGACAAGTGGGAAAATCGGCACTTGGACCCGAAGTCGCACTGGCCTGTGGAGGAAAGGATGTTGGGGAAGGACCCAGAGCTTCAGGGGCTCCCTCAGCCCCGCCCAAGACCCTGGACTTCCCCGGCCCCACCCCCACTAGACTCAAGGCCCTTCCCTGGCTGCCCTGGCTGCTATGGGGGTCCAGTCTGAGTGTGGCCCTCCAAGAAGGCTTGTCTCTTGTCACCCGTTCTTCAGTGGCCCCTGTGATGTCCCAACATGTCTCCCCACCCTGATCAAATGCCTGGGTGCCATGGGAAGAACTGGCAGGGCAGCTTTGTCAGGGGGGGAGGGGAGGAGGAGGGCACACAAGTCCAGGCACTTTGTGACTATCAATCCCTGACGCTAGACAGGCTTTAAGACAACAGGGGACTGATCAGAAGATCCATAGCACACAAAAACACGGTTGAGAATGAGGGGGGTTGGAGCAGAGACCCAAAGCCCATCTGTAGACAATGGAACATCCCCCCACAGAGGGGTCACAGGGAAGGGATGAGTCAACCAGGACACAGTAAAGCACCGATGGAACACACAGCATTCTTCTGGTTCCTTAAGGCTTCCTCACCCCCCACTATCATGACCCCAGTGCTGCTTCTCAATTCAAACTAGACCGGAGCATGTACACAGGTATAGCTAAGAGATGGGAGCTCACCACACCACACAGAAACCAGGAACAGGAATGGGAGTAGCGATCCCAGAAGGGTAGGGGAAGTGGGGGAGAGGAAGGGAGAAAGGGAGAACGGATCGCACTGATCAACACATAAACATACACCCCTTTCCAGGGGGAATTAACAACAGAAACCATGGGGGAAGGGAGACAGGGGTCGGTGT